TGCACAATCATTGTCCTAATAAGGGAATAATTTTAGATGTTTTGGTGACGGAATCTAGAAAAAAATACAGGCTGTGTCTCCTTTGCTCTTGCTGATTGAAAAGGATACAGTAGGGCTTGCCAGGTTCACCCTCAGTTTGGCTAGCTGTCGTAACAATGTTGACAGCTTTATGTGACATTTAAAATAGACATGATGATTTTACAAGCGTCACCTTGTTCCAAGTTTTCCAAATGAAATGTTTCCCCTGGGCCAGGCGGAGACTGTGCGTCCCAAAAATCAGCCGTGTTCTGGTGGAATTTTGAAGCAGTGAATAACTATTTTTTTATTTGAATATTGTTTTAAAGTGATACTAAACCCACAACAGTAAAAATCAGTCTGTGTATGCAGTAAAGCTGTTTGATCCTTTCTTCTCTGCCCCTCCTCTTGTTGAAATGACCACCTGATACAGACTGAATCCGTAGTCACACGCACATGCTCAGTTTGGTGTGTATTGCTACAGAGGTTTTTTTTTCTTGGGAGAGTGCATGTGATCAGCACAGGGCCAATCAGCACTGTCCAGACAGAGGGTCAAGGGTTTCATATCCTCCTAGAGCAGAAAGAAAACTCCTACAAGCGTTAACCAGTGCTTTGCTAAACTCACAAGACTGTTCTGACTGCTGATGAGAAAAGGTATTTAGCAATTTATATTTACTAAAATATTTGCATTTTCAAGTTGAGTGTACAGTGGTAGACCAGATCTAGTGAATGCAGGGTCCTGGGTTTAGTATCACTTTAAGTATCAACTTAATGAAAAGCTATTTTAATGACTGTTGGATATATAAGGCAGTGTTATTTTAATGTGTATGTCACTGCAAAAGAAAAAAAAACATAGGTGCTACATCTCTGCAATACCCATTTCCTCAACTTTTATCACTTTAAAGACCCTGCAAATGCAAACAATACCTGCTGACCTGCTAAAAAATACAGTCAGCTCTTAAGTCCTGTTGTGGGGCGACAACATACAGCTATAGGAATAGATTTTTATTGATCGTTGTGATGTTTTCCTAAAAAGAAAAATCATTGGTAATCTGATGACGAACAGTTGACTTTGTTGATAACAGATGAAAGATTACAGAAATATCAGTTTTAAGCTAGCCATAGATGGATCGAATATCAGCCAGTTCAGCATGGACCAGTGGAGAGTCAGTCCATCTAAAGGCAGGCTTGTTGTACTGAAATTAATCCATCGATCGACTTTAGTACAACCAGTCTGTCAGATTTTATTTCATGAAGTAGTGAACCAGAGCAGGGCCACAGACAGCAATATATACCTAATTTTGGGAATTACAAAGAAGCTACCCTTGTAGCCTCCCTCTGCACTGTAGGAGGTAAATGCTTGTTAACAATACAATCTAAGGTCCCTAACTTACATTCATACATACACAGGCCAATTTTAGACAGGAGCCAATTCACCTACCAGCATGTGTTTGGAGTGTGGGGGGGAAACCAGAGTACCCGGAGGAAACCCACACAGACACAGGGAGAACATGCAAACTTCAGGCAGGTGATGCCGTGGTTGGGATATGAACCAATGACCCTAGTACTGCCAGGCAGAAGTGCTAACCATTTAGCCACTGTGCTGCCCGGATGAAGAATAAGGTGTAATACCTCACTCCTCGCACTGGCTGGCTACCTCTATCTGTACGATTGGTCTCTCAAAACCTTTTCTATAAGGTATTCAAGGTCACAGTTGCGCAATGATGTTATTATGTTCAGTTCAAGGCAAAGAGGAGGGCGATGGCCCAACCACAAGTCAGAGTGGAGGTGAGCACTGGAAACCTATATATCATACCAAAGAGGGGCAACTGATAAATAAACAGGGACAGAGGGCTTTTTTCCAAAACAAGGATAAATGGGAGCTAATCCGGAGGTGCTTTGTTCCATTAAGAGATTCTCCTTATCTATATAACAAAAGCAGATACCATTTGTATATGTTTGTAAAAAAACTTTGTGATATGTATTATGGAGTAGAAAAGGATTTATCTTCTCAAGATGCTGTTTTTTCCCTAAGGACTTTATTGCTTCAGAGACACAAAAGATTTTTCACAGATTACCTTCCTTCGCATACATATTTAATAGAGCAGATTAAGTATCTTCAGTGTGTAGAAATTCCTTCCACCAAGAAACACTATCCATTTTAGTGAAGGGCAGCCGACATGAGAAATGGGAGAGATGGATTACAGGTTGGTGTTATAGAGTCTGTAGATTATACAGTGTATGAAATCACAATTGAATTTTCACCATTTTTTGTAGAATTGCTTACAAAGAAAGTGTGCTTAATGATAATTGGTATTTGTGAACCTAAGTCACAGTATGTTAGCTATTGTTAAGTAAGTATTTCAGTGTAATGACTGAGGTGATTGTAACCATATTAGTGCATTTGCGGCAGCAACAATTGAGTACTGTCCGTGATACTTTTTTATTTCCACTTATACCTTTGTGATCAGTACTGCTTGGACCTGAAGAAGGGGACACTCCCCAAAAGCTTGTCCTCAAAATTGTTTGTTAGTGCAAATAAAAAAAAGTATCACAGACAGTACTCAATTGTTTCTAGTGTAATGACTCAAACATTTCTCAAAAATGTTCTTGTTTTTCTTTACTAAAACTTGAATATGGACTGATATATTTTGAATGTGTGTCTTTGCCAATCTAAATGGTGAGTTTTGAAGTATATGCAAAGACAAAATATCTGTTTTTTAGAGAAGAATTAAACCCCTATTAACCACTTGCCTACAGGGCACTTCGGGTCAAGCAACACTGTACCCATATGAAATTTGTATCATTTTTTTACACAAATAGAGCTTTCTTTTGGTGGTATTTAATTGCCACTAGGGGTTTTATTTTTTTTTTCGCTATAAACAAGAAAAGAGCAAAAAATTTTAAGAAAAAAAAGTTTTTCTTTGTATCTAAAATTATAAAATTTAGGTAATTTTTCTCCTTCACTGATGTGCATTGATGAGGCTGCACTGATAGGCAGCACTGATGGGCACTGATAGGCAGCACTGATGGGCACGGATAGGTAGTACTGATGGGTACTGATGAGGTGACATGGATAGGCAGCACTGATAGGCGGCACTGATGAGCTGGCACTAATGATCCTGCATTGATAGGCGGCACTGATGGGCAGCACTGATGGGCAGCACTGCTGGGCACAGGTGGGTGGCACTGCAGGGCACAGGTGGGTGGCACTGATGGGTACAGGTGTGCGGCACTGCTGGGCATAGGTTGGTGGCACAGGTGGTGGCACTGCTGCGGATTGATCGTCAGGGCACTGATCATTAGTGCCCTGATGATCAGTGCCAATCCCTTCGCTGACAATTGCCAGTTCTCTGCATTATTTTCCTCACGCTAAGTGAAGCCGATAACCGGCAACTGTATTTACCCGGTGATCGCTGTGTCATTGGACACAGCTGATCACGTGGTAAAAGGCCATTGTGATTGACCGATTACCGTAGCCCGTGATCAGCTGTGTGCGGCGGCGGGGACAGGTGTGTGCCACTGGGGGCGCGCAGGGAGACGTGTCCTGGAATGACGTCCATGGACGTTGTCCCAGTATTACACAATCTCGCTGTAGTCGTCCTTTGGCTATAGAGTGGTTGGGAACTGGTTAAAGCAGAGTTCATCCAAAAGGGGAAGCTCCACTTGTCTGCCTCCTCCCCCTCTCTACTGCTATATTTGACACCTTTTGGGGGGTTTGACAGGTACCCCGCTCCCACTTCCGACTCAGTTTGCTGCAGCGAAGTGAGCCGGAAGTTAGGCCCCCTCCTCCCTCCCACAGTCTCCTGGGAACATTCACAGGTCCCAGAAGACTGCCAAACCAATCCAAGAGGAGCAGCGCAATTCGCACATGCACAGTGGGCACCCGGCTGTGAAGCTGCAAGCTGTCACAGCCTGGTGCCCACAGCTAAGATGCTGGCGCCGTGGAGAGAAGAAGAAGAGAAGGGACAGTGCGGGTGAGCACATCGCTGGACCCTGGGACAGCTAAGTGTGTGGCTATTAAAAGGCAGCAGCTACAGTTTTTGTAGCTGCTGACTTTTATTAAACACAAAAACAGCTGGAGCTCATTAAGTTATTATTTTTGGTCTGTATCCCACAGGGGAAATTTCCCTTCACTTCCTGTCCTAAAGACACAACAGGACAGCAATGGGGTTGATTTACTAAAACTGGAGAGTGCAAAATCTGGTGCAGCTGTGCATGGTAACCAATCAGCTTCTAACTTCAGCTTGTTCAATTAAGCTATGACAATAACATTTGGAAGCTGATTGGTTTCTCTGCAGATCTGCACCAGATTTTGCACTCTCCAGTTTTGGTAAATCAACCCCAATCTCTCCAGTATACTGGATTCTCATCTTAGAGAATTGTTACAAGAATAAGTATCTCCACTAAAAGATTTGACCTCAGTTATTGCTCTGATGATAGTTCAAGAATTTTTTTAATTTAATTTTCTGTCTCCATGACAATTGTCACCAGGACAGATGGACATTCCAAACTGAGCAAATAATGAAAAGGCACATAAGCAGAGGTTACCTATGGTAAAAACTGTATTTCAAAATGACCAGCAGCAGACAGACATATGCAGCAAAATTCCTGTGCAATTTATAAAGTTATATGTAAACTCAAGTCATCAAGTCTGTGCTAAAGCACAACTCTAACCAAAATGTTTTTTTTTTTTTTTTTTTTATTTCATTTTTGACAGAGTAGGAGAGGATGACAGATTTTGCCAACTTTTATAGTTGTCTTTGTACTTGTTGGAAATATTGCTTCTTGTGTGGTCACTAGATCAGGTAAAATATCTGACAAGGACACAGTCAGCAATAAAAACTCAACAGAAATGCTAACCCTTCCAAACCCACGCAAAATAAAATGTTGGGTTTTAAATTTCCTATTTTGACTAACAAAATGGCAATGGTACATTTATGTGATATTTATTTACGTATGCAAACAGAACATATTCATGAGAAATGTATCACAATGTAAAATATCTGTACCTCTCCCACTGCAGAGTTACCTATGAGAGAAATGACGATGATGAGGAGGAAGCTGCCAGAGAGAGACGCCGGCGAGCTCGCCAAGAACGGCAACGGCTGCAAAGGGATGACGGTGATGGGAATGAGGTGAACTCTCAGAATAGGTAAATACAGTTTTGTTTTTGTTTTTCTTTTGGTGGGGGGGGTTATCAGTTTCATGCATCTTCATTGGTCACAATATGTTAAATTGAAAAGCCAGGGAAATACAAAGAAACACCCCTTAATCACCATCAAGTGTATGATAAAAATGCTAGCTTCCAGTAATCTTAACTCAAAAAACATACTTTTTCTCTCTCCCCTCCACAATGTAAAAGAAGCCAATTTATTTTTTCTGTTTTTATTTAATTTTTCTTCATGAACCCTGCTCCTGATGCCTCTTGGGATATCCACGTCACACATACCAAAAGGCATTGGCTTCCACACAGTTCTGGAGGAGGGAGGGCCAGGCTGTACGTTATCAGGAAGGGGGGGGGGGGCTGGTAGAACATTTCTATGTACAAAGGATGGCCAAACATCAATCAAACATCATTTTTAGCCATCTGGCTAGTTTATCACAATATTGTATGTCCACTTGATTCATGTTCTGCCTTTGTTGCTTCTCAAAGAAAATGTAAAGACTGGTCCATGCAGTGGAAGACTGTGAATACATACCTCTCCAACATCAAGTCCAAAGCCTGCTGTGTTTAGGCGATACAGCCATCAGCAGTCTTGTAACCCTTCCAAGTATGTCAAATGCATGGTCCCCCACTCCAACCCTGCAAACTTACTTCTGTTGGCAGGAGGAAACAAAGCTCATAGGAGGTACAGGCATTCAAAACTATGTCCAATGCTGATGACTTTGCTGGAGGCTGTATCACTTGAGCACCTCAGATTTTGGTTAGAGGTGAGCATTCACAGTTTTCTGTTGCAGGGTCTGTCCTTTGTATTTTTTCGTGGGAAGTAACAATGTCACTAACATGAAGCGATGTCCGTGGAGCCCATCCTCACTCTGCCATCCAAATGCCAGAGCTCAAAAAAGGTTCAGGATCCTGACAACCAAAATCAATTTCCCTGGAGCATAAATTACCAAATAGTCTTGTGGGCAGATATATTCCATGATATATCCCATGCTGGCATGGGATTTCCTCCAGGTACTTAGGTTTCTTTCCACAATTCAAAGACATGCTGGTAGGTTAATTGGCTCAACTGAGTAAGTCCAAAGAAGGATGCCTCGCCTACAAAGTGCTTTGAGTCTCTAGAGAGAAAAGCGCTACAGAAATACAAATCTTTGTCGGATCCTCGCATAATAGCACAGTTTAAACATGGTCTCTGATCTTTCCCGGCTTAAAAAAAATGTATAAGTTGGACATACACTTTCTCTCCACATATATTCTAGGTCACTGACACAAAGTTTTGAACACAGAGGGTCAGTATGAGAGTCAAGCAACAAGCATTTGCAGAATGAACAATAGCAAAGGCAGCCTCTTTGTTTCTCTTAGGAAGACTTACATTAGAAGAATGCAGCCCTACAGTGAATGTTTTCACTCTCAAATTCTGCAAGTTCGATTTGTTTTAAGGAAAGGATAACTCATGGGAAAATGATAACACAAATAGTGAACTGTCTACGGAATGCCTAAACTGTCTGCAGAGGACTGGGAATCCAGAGTATCTGCAGTCGCCTTTAAGAATGTAAATATGGCAGTGAGTTAAAAGGGAGGTTGGAGGTGATTGTCAGCTTGTATGTTGGACATTACTTACATTAAATGGTTATATGAGAAGGAATTTCTTCAATTATTCTTGCTTTGTTGGTGAGTTCAAGGACCTAAATACCACTATGGTAGTGCAAAGTTATAAGTGATCTATAGGCTGTTAATGTGTATTTACAGTCAAAACATTTGCTTTTGGTAGCACAGAAAACCTAAACCAAGTCTTTATAGCTGTCTGTGATAATGAGACCTTTTGTGCGGGCATGTGCCCTCATGTTTGTAATGCACTTCTGCTTGTGGCGACTTCTTAGTTTTGATCATGGGCATTGTGGATGGGTTGCCTCTTTTATCTAATAACTGTTTTATAATGTTTTCTATGATCTTGTTTGATTTGAGGCATGTAATCTATAAATCTGTGACTATGTGCTTTGGGTCATTTATTTTGTGGCTGGTTGCTGTTGTTATGTATTTTTATTACATTTCGGGCATTGGGGGGCGGTTCTGTAGCAATGGTGTTTTGATTGGTGGGTCTGGGCAAACATCATATTGTTTGTTGGTGAATACGTGTCCTAATTTTGTATTTCTATAATGGTGTGCTGGTGTGATACCTTTTATTTCAGACTTTTTTTACTGACATCGCCATCCATCATTTCAGTATGGCATACATCTCTTTTTGGGTATATGGCTGTAAGGAGTGAACTGATTTTTCTTAGAAATATAGGCCCACTGAACAGATTCCCACTCTGTATTTTCTTAGTGACCATTGTCACCAGGATAGAACGTGATGAAAAATCCAACATTTTACAGTTGTCACCAGAACGACAGATCAGGGGAAATCTAATAATAGGGACACCTGTTCTGGGGGCAGTTGTCTAAGAGGTGATTTCACTACACTTTAGTTAGGTTTCCTCTCTTCCTGTTGTGTGCTATCTATTCCCTGGGAAAAAAAAATGCTTTTGAGGTTGCAGCTTCTGAGTCTGTTTTTAGGAATGTCTGTTGCAGGTTTTTTTTTTTACAAAGAATCAAACATATTGTATTAAAACTCAAAATAAAATTAAAAGAATAGCATGGCATTAAATTTTTTGGCCTGTTGCACACTTAGTCAAAGTGAAACTCCAGTATATTTATCTGTGCTTCCATTAAGGTAATAGACTTTAACTTCCTGTCCAGAAGGTATGAATAGATTGTGAGAAGATATGTCCTCAAAGTAAGGCTTTGACAGTTATTGAAGCAGGTATTCCCACTGAGAAATGTTTTGACCAATATACAATTAACTTACTTCCTGCCTTCAGCCTTCTCCACTTCTCTTCTAATTATGAACATTTCCTTACCAGTGGCAATGAGTGACAGCAGCAGGTATGCTGAGTTTGTAACCAGAAGCTGCGTCTGAGCTGCACCAAACAGTACCCAGTGACTTGGTAGATGTAGACACTGGGGCAAATCTGGAAGGCTTTCAAAGGCCGACTTGGTGTGGATTGAGTGGCAGGGCCATGGACACATTACAGGAGCAGTGATGTGCTTCACTCTGTTCCAGGCCATGGCCTGTGCTGAAATCCAGCCAAAAACACAAGATTTCTTTAAGTGTGTCTTTTGATGCTATTTGCCTGAATGCATTGTATCACTCATAAATATCCTCCTGCGTTAGACAACTTCTGCTTTCCATAGCCCTTGGTGTTTAAGCAATTTTTTTTCATTATGCATACTTTTCAAAATAAATACATTAATGATTATTTGTTTTAACAGCATTACAGTAGAAGAGAGCAGAACCAAGTCAATAACAAGCACAGACCTTTCAGCGGACGATGAGACTGCTTTGTTGGATAGGCTGGCCAGGCGAGAGGAAAGGCGCCAAAAACGTCTAAAAGAGGCAATGGAACGTCAGAAGGAATACGATCCAACCATATCAACCAATGAAAGTTTCTCGATTTCTAGAAGCACCAGGAATGGAGAGAATGAAGTCCAAGAAAATGATACTTCTCCAAATGTGAATGACTCAGACCTTCATCAAGAAAAACACAAAGTGGAAGAGACTGAAACAGTAGAGGAATTTACTGAGAAGAACGATAGTAGAGAAGTGCAAGACGAAGAAGTAGAAACAGATCAAGTTGAGGTCAAGCAGGAAGTTCAGGAGGAGACACCTGAGGAACCTCTTGTAGAGGAGAATCAGGTAGAAATGACTTTCCAAATTAAAAATATGGATGTATCTAAGGCTGAAACGTATGGGGAAGTAAGGATAGAGGCATTAGTATCTAGAGATGACAGCGAGCAGGAGAAGAGAAAGACAGACAGTAGTGAGGCTGCGGAAACTGAGAGGAATAAGGCAGAGAAGAAGGCTGCTGAGGAAAGGGAACGTATAGAGGAGGAGGCTAAATGGGAGGAAGAAAAAAGGGAGAAAGCTGAGGCAGAAAGAAAGGCTGCTGAGGAGAGGGAAAGGATTGAAGAGGAAAAGAGGGAGGCAGAGGCGCAGGAGAGGTTGGAAGCAGAGGAGAGGCAAAAGATTAAGGAAGAGGCAAGACTCGAGGCTGAGAAGAAAGCAGTTGAAGAAGAGGAAAGGATAGAGGCAGAACGAAGGGAAAAAGAGAGCGCTCAGGCAGAAGAGAGGCAGCGTCAGAAAAGGATGGAAGAAGAGAGGAGGGTGGAGGAAGAGAGGATAAAAGCAGAGCAAAACAGGGCTGAGGAGGAAAGGAAGAGAAAAGATGCAGAGGAAAAGAGAAAGGCAGAAGAGAAAAAGGCAGCAGAGGAAAAGAAAAAAGCAGAAGATAAAAAAGCAGCCGAGGAGAAGGCTAGGTTAGAGGCCAAAAAGAAGGAGGATGAGAAAAAGGAGAAGAGACCAGACAGCAAACAGGTAAAAGACAAGAAGGTGGAGGAAAAGATTCATCCGGCCTTCCTAAAGAAGCAGGTACCTTTTTTCCTCCCTCTGGCACTTTTTGCACCTGTTTTTTGGAAAATGGAATGCCAGCCAGAGTTTTGTGCCTTGCTTGCACCCAGTTTGCAGTCCTGTAAAATGTACTGTCACCTCCATGAGAATTTTATTTGCTGACAGCTCGGAATTTTCCTTTAACACATTGCTTACTGCTTTCACTTTTCAAATGCATGATCATTCTTCAAACTTTTCTTTGTTGGAGGGTTAAATTAGCATGTCCTAGAGATAAGAGGTTGGCATTTTGAGTCACTTTTTTGGGTGTCACGTTTGCAACCAGCATTTGTGTGTGTATCACTAGCTTCCACACCACAAACCTTCACTGAGTGAACATCAACAAAATGGCTTTCAAAAAGCTTATTTAAATAGATATCGGTGGAAAAAGTTATTAAAGCCACTTAAAATGCCACCGGAATTAAAATAAATAAATATATATATATACACAGGGTATGTGTGTGTATGTGTGTATATATATATAAAGTTTAAATGACCCCAGGAAGACTTAAACCGTAAACACAGGAAAACATTTTCAGAAAGTAGAAGAAAAGAGACAACCAAAAGCAAATTTTCCCTAAATGCTACCATCCCTTCTTTCTCTGTGATTCAACTCCCAGTTACAGGAATCTTTGGTTTAACATCCAGTCAAAAATCACACCAGCCAAATACACAAAAAAATCATCAAGAATGGACCATTTGGTGTGTCGCCATTTTGACAAACAACAAACAAATGGTGATCGGCACATAAACAAAAAATATTTTACTATATATAATTTGTTGAAATCCATAACAACCATACATTAGATTCTATTGTCTAAAAGTCTGAGAATTTAAAACACTTACTAATCCTGCAACATCATTCTAAGGGCTTGTTCACAATTGACTTCTTCCCGAACGCTCCTATAGCTTTAGACAGGCGTTTTACAAGCATTAAAAAACACTCCCAAAACACTCCCCAAAAGCCTTATGTGTGGTTTTGAGGCATTTTATAGGCATTTTAAAAGTGTTAAAACCCACACCACAAATGCCTATAATGAACTTAATGGTATTAACGCCCAGCAAATGCCTGCCAGGCATTTGAGCAGCGTGACCATAAACTTAAATGGGAGGCGTTTGAAAGGCTTCAACTCCTCCTGACTGGACATGAGGCATCAATTTTGATGCAACGCTAACGCTTCAGTGTGAACAGCACTGTGTGCTGTAATGTATATCATTTTCATAGACATTTGAGGAGTGTTAAAAATGCCCCTCAAACGCCTGCTTTCAACGCTAGTGTGACCTGAGCCTAAGCCTTTCAGTTAGTGAACTAAGCAGCTGCCCTTTACCTGAATTGGAATTATTTGTTATATTACAGAATTATGGAGTTTTTACCACCCGAGTAGCAGCTTCTATATATACCTTCATTACCAAGCAATTTTTAATTTTTCATTGCTGTGATAGTCTGACTGAGTTATATAGTTTATATTAGTTTCTTGAGATTGATAGACTTTTATTATTTTTTTTACTATATAAAAAGGAAAAAAAAACAAAATTTGGTTTGCTTACACTTACCTTTAATTTCTTTACCTTTCGGTGGAACTTTAACCCCCCATCCCATCAAAGAAATCCCACAACCCCCCCCCCCAACAAAAGAAAATCATTGGTGGAGGTCAGTAGCACTCCCCCCTCTCCCTATTTAAAAAAAATGGCAATCGTTGATGGTCAGTGACACTTTAACGTGTACACCCCCCCTCCCCCCCCAAAAAAAAAAATATATACAATTATTAGTGGTCATTTACACTTTAACCCTTCTCCTCCACAAAAGAGAGAACAATCCCACAATCATTGGTGGTCAGTGGCAATTTAAGACCCCCACCATTAAAAATAATCCCACAGTCATCGGTGATCAGTGGTACTTCAGCCCCCTGCCCATCTTTTTAAAAAGCAATCCCACCTTTGGTTTGCTGATACTCCTTTCTGCTGTGTGTACAGACGTTCACCCTATTCTCAATGGAGGAAGGAGAGCTTTCTCTATTGTGAATGAGCTGAATGTTTGTAGACATTACTCTGGTTTACACTGGTGGCTGCTGTGATTGGTTTATAGCAATCATAAGGTACAGAACCACTTGAATGGCTCTGCACATCTTGGCTGTGATCTGAGCTGTCCAGTCACAGCCCAAGTCACAACCGTTAATGGGCATACTGGCTGCTTAAGTGTGTTTTCTGAAGCACCATTTATAAATGACACTGCAGAAATACATGTCTACCTCATCACCGTACAGGTGTGGTTAAATCCTCAGACTTTTAGACGTTACCGGCTAATGTATGGCTAGTTTGAGTTTTGACTAATGATATATAACAAAATATGGAGTTTCTACTTCTGAATGAGCTGATCATTTGTTTGATACAAAAAAAGGTAGTTAAAGATACTGAGTTTGTACACTCACTTACCTGTCAGGTGGAGCTGGGCACTATATTGAATTTTGCCGAGCACTATGTTGCCTGCAGAGACAAGCTTGCACTGTGTGATAGCCACTGCACGTATTCTGGTAGACTGTTTTCAAGAGTTACATTTCAACTTTAAATATGGAAAGGGAGAAGACAAAGAAAATAAGTTTGAAGCTAAAAAGGATGAGAAAGTTCGAACAGGCTTCAAAAAAGAAGAGGTAGGATTTATCTTCCTTTGCTGTTGTAGAGAGAACACGTTGTTTGTAAAAAAAAAATATTCTGTCTAACATTTAAGACAGGTTTCTAAGAAGTAAAAGCATTCCACTTAAATTTGAATGTTCACATAATTTAGAATGTATTCTAGACTATTAAAATGTATCTATAGCCAAAGCATTTTGTTTGTAGTTTTAGAACAGAGTAAAGAGGTTTAGAACTCCTGTTAGATTTTTATTGCTGTCTGTGTCCCCACTGGGTAGATAAACCCTCCCTAGTTATCCTAATCACCATTGTCACCAAGACAGAAAGTGATGTGAGATCTAAAAATTTACAATTGTCTCTACACCATGAGGTGAGAACAAATCTTCCAGTGGGGACACCTGCTACAGTAACAACTATTTAGGTGTGGATTTCCCCCACATTGGAGAGACGTCCTTTTGTGTCTCCAGGACAGTAAAAGAAATCTCCCAATCAGACACATAAAAAAAATTCTATCCAAAAATAAAAAAGGCTATGGCTATAGATGCACTTTAATCCTCTTTGCAGAACTAATTTCTCCAGTAGCTGGTTGTCAATTCCTGAGTGAACGGATTGAAAGCCATTGATCACAGGAAAGAAGACATGCCACATTGTAGGAATAGATGTTCCAACTGGAGACTCACAGAGCAGATAAGACTGGGGAAAAGTGTTGAGCACTGCTTCACTCCTCGCAAGATAGTCAGTTATAGGTGAAAATCTTCATGGATTCAAGCCATTACCATGTCCATTAAATTATTGTTTGTTTTAGCCTTTAAAAAAATAAAACAGCCCATCTACAGCCAAAATCTGTCTAACAGGGACCCAGAGAAAAGCAAAGGCAAATCTTGGGAGGGTGAAAATTGTAAGAAGTTCTTTGTTTTTACCTTATCATGCTGAAAGTGTGGACACCAAAATCCAAAACAATCCCACTTGAAATTTACCAGCTGTGAAATATCTTCTTTGCCAAAAGATCCACCATTCACTAGCCCAGCCCTGGATAAAAAGTACATTTACCCTTTAGAAGGATCTGCAACTAAAACAACTGTATTATTGGTTTTTTTTTTTTTTTTGCTTTCTCCTTTTTAGGTTAAAGATGAGAAAGGGAGAGGTGGGAAGGAAGAGTTAAAAGCCAGCTGGGAGCGAAAGAAAGGATTTCCTGAAAGCAAAGCCCAGAATGGAGAAAGTTTACATGACGTTACACCACAGAAGCTCAAACATTTGGATAAATTTGGGTAATAAACCTTGTCCGTCAGCAGTCACCCCTCTTCCTAAAATGTTAAACCTTTTTTTCCTAACTGTTTAGCATTACAGAGTAAGGAACATGCTTGCCTAAAATATATCTGTTATTAGTTAAAGAAGAATTCTTGGCAGGGAAATACATTTATTTTATTACTATGATCGTGTTATTATTATTATTTATATTATTATTATTATTAGCAATAATAATATTATGTGGAGTACTGCAGTAACTTTGCGCTGCTGGGTCTACTTGTTATTAATATGCAACTTTTGGGACGATTCACGTTGCATTAAACAATATATGGTTCTGTGTAGGGTGACAGTACAAAGAGGATAACTGAATCACTGCTTTTTTTGTATTTTTTTTTATTGTTTGTCTTTCTAAAGCCTTGCATGTACATTTGATGTCTGACCATCAAAGTTAGTTTCCCCCCGCAGCTATATTTAGTTTTTTTCTACAATTATAACCAGATTCCACAGCTGCTGGTTGACACGTCATATTTGTAAATGTGAAGGGATTGGAGTACACTTGTCATCTTTGACCCAAGAGTGGCTTGGGAAAAAGCTTACTTTGGCTATTTTGCCCTTTGTTGTTGAGTTCACAGAGCAGTTTCAGAAAACTTCAAGAGCATATTTATTCTCAGGCTAGAAATTCCTACATTGCATTCCAGTTTACATTGTATTTTCCTGCTGTGTTTTCTATCCACTTTGTATCCATCTGAAATTTCACTTGTCATTATGGATCACAGTTGTTAAAGCTGATAGGCGGACATAAAAGACGTACATTAATACAGTCCTGTATGTAATCATGAATATATAATTACATGTATTCTTTTTAACTCAAGCAATGTAAGTACCTCGATTTGACCTGGTATCAGCCTTTTACAATACAATATACAGCATAGCCCAGAGGAGAGAGGAAGAAACAGCATTAGGAGCTTATCAGTTCATGTGTTGGCAAGAAGCATGCTGATATGAGGTGAAAATAGAGTGACAGAAAGGTGAACGCATCACTGTGCTGCTTCTACTTTCACTGTCAGTAGATATCGAATACAAGTGCAGCACTACCCCCTTAACCTAATAACAACTCTTAGCATGCAATATGTAAACCACAAAAAAACTTTTAAATAAATATAAAATCAATCTCAAGTACATACAGAGTGTATGAATCCATATAGTTAATTACTGAATCGCAAAATTCTTTTATGAAAATTATCAAATACTGTATGTATGTGTGTATATATATATATATGTATTTACTGTATATATACAAGGCATTTAACCATGCAAAAAAACAGTGATATGTCAATGTATCCACTAAAACAGTGCAGCTGTGATCGAACCCACAGTGAAAAAAGGTATAAAATCAAAATGTTCAGAGTTCATATACAAAATAAAAATATCTGCTTTAAAAGGGGGATCATAGTCACCTAGGTGGATGTAGTATCAGTCCATTGCTGCACCTGTCCCCCGCCTGTTCTAAGACTTAGAACACAACTGGTCAATAATTTCTCAGTTTTCAGTGAGTAGAGTGCCAGTAATTGTCAGTCACCGGCTCTCTTCTCTTCCCCTCCTCACTGGAGCACCTGGCTGTGGAGGGGGTGACAGCCTGAGCCAGGTGCTGGTCTAGGCATCTAGGTGGACCACATCCATTTCACCACTCATATAGCATACCAAATTCCTTGGGGTATCAGCCCTTTATCTGGGAGAGGGGACAATAAAACAAATTAAAAGATAAACTGTATATTTTTTAAAGTGTTTTTTGTTTAGAGAGTTCATAACACATGAAAGCCTAGTTAGTCCCCAGCAAACAATGTATGTGTTACTTTGTTGTCTTAAGTAGTAACAAAAGTATTGCCACATAAATAGGCTCATAGCAGTGCCACAGCTGAAGTGGTTAAACTACTTTCCTGTTTTGACAGCTAGGGGCATACTGAAAGTTCTGACCTTAATTATTGATCAGTAACTCATCAATCAGCATAGTTCCCAATAATGTGATAACCATGACAGCTGTGATCACATGAGGTTTGTTTGTAGACAAACCTCTCTGGCTCCAGTTGTCACAGTGTTTAGTTCTCTGTGCACTTGATTTGCACATAGAAAGAAATAACATTTTTTTTAAAAGAGTGGTTAAAAATGAATACTTTTTTTTTTAAATCACATTTTTGTTCATTTGGCAGTGTATAAAAAATTAAAATAAATCCCTATATGCCCCCCCCCCATGTAAAAATGATTCAGGTTTGCAAATTAGTTAATAGAGTTAAATGCCAAATTAACAGACACATGCTGACACTGCTGAATTTAGTCTGGGCATCTACATATCAATGACTTCTGTTCATCGAAAGGTTAAAACAACAGGTATATCTTGGAAATCTGATGAACAATTTACAGTTAGAAGTGATGAATACATGTATAGTCGTGTGTTATATACTTTGCAAATGCATTTTTGTGGTTTCCTTTAAGTGGGGCAAAAGGACAGCCGAGTGGCGATGAGGCAGACTCTGGAGCAAAGGTAGAAGCAGGTAAAAAATTGGAGGACCTACGCCGTCGTAAAGGTGATACGGAAACTGGGGAGTTTGAGAAGCTGAAGCAGAAACAGCAGGAATCTGCAGTGGAACTGGAAGAGCTGAAGAGAAAACGTGAGGAGAGGAAGAAGCTTATGGAAGAGGAGGAGCAGAGGAAGAAACAAGAAGAGGCAGAGAGAAAAGCCAAAGAAGAGGTGGGGCTTCATCTTTATCAACTGTCCATTTACCAGATTTGTCTAAAAATTAACCATAAAATGCCTCACTGTTGCTAGAGTTTTGGTAACTATTAAAGGCTGGTGTAGCAAATACCGGTGCCCACACATTCCAGTTCGATTGTTCAATAATCTGGTTCTTTCAATTTTTTTTTTATTGAAATCTGAACCTATTTTTTTTCACTTTCAAACTCGTTTCTGAGGATGAAATTAAAAATCATTGAAAAAAGTTAGAAATGGGGACATATGTAGGTTTTATAGATTAATAACTTACTGATTTAGTTCAATCTTCTGGAACATTCAGAAAACCAAATAAAAATGTATTAAGTGCAATTGCAATTTTGGTCATAATTAGGAACAGACTGAAATAAACTAATGCATGTGTGGCATCATAAAAAGGTCTATCCCAAAGTTCGACTAAAACTCTCAAGCCTAGAGACATTATTGCATCCAATTGTATTTACTGTCTGTACTTTCTTTGGAAGTACGTGTTTTATTCTAGCATATGACTTCCTTTCAGGAACTTTGATTGACAAGAGAGTGTTATTAAGAATAGAACCTTTGACGTACCCTCAGTTTAGTAGAAGGTACTAATAAGTCATCCACACGTGGTTTAGCAGGATGCTGTTGGCACAGAGCCGTGGTAGTTCATTCATTCACAGAACACCATTTTTTTTTAAAGTAACGATAAACAAATAGAGGGCGCACCGGCCTAGTGTATTAACCTTTAAAATAGTGAATTTATTGTAAAAAGGAAAGTATTATACTCACAAAGTCATAAAAAGTGCAAATACATTTCTTTGGTACAACACAAACAGTCCGCAAAGTATCCATGGTATGGTTCCATCGTTTCTGCACACTGTGATGCTTTGCAGACTGTTTGTGCTGTACCAAAGAGATGTATTTGCACTTTTTATGACTTTGTGAGTATAATACTAACACGTGATTTTATTTGATTTATATGGGGTAGCACTATATTGTTTTTTATTTAATTTTAGTATATGTACTGTATGTATGAGAGTGCCATATGGTGTGAGTAGCTACCAGGATTAAAGAAGTGAAATTATGTAGTTTTGTTTGGGTATAGCAGCATAAGAGTTTATTTTTGTTATTTTAACTTCCAGTACTGACAGGAAGTTAGGGGAAATCTCCGCAATAAAGACACAGACAGCAGTAAAAACCAGACATTGTCTCTAATCTATTCCTGTTCTATCAAAAATTAAATAAAAGTTATGTTTGTTGCTGGACATTGAGGGCTTGTTCACACCAGTCCCATTGGCTTGCATTGGGCAGCATTGCCAACATAGTCCCAACCAGGGGCGGACTGACAACTCATGGGGCCCCTGGGCAATAGGGGATCATGGGGCCCCTGTGTCCTTACCAAAACTCAAAAAAACCTATGAAAAAGGTACCAGGGGCATCTCATGGGGCCCCCTACTGACCCCGGGCCCTCGGGCAGTGCACGAGTTTCCAAATGGTCAGTCCGCCCCTGGTCCCAACACATAGATAAGACTATTTGCCTGTTGTCCATTTGCTTCAGTTAATTTTTGCACTGTGCATTCTGATGTCTAATACATCCCAGTTTGCTGCCATTGTTAAATGTAGTGTCAAGGTAAAAACTGTTTAAAAGAGGGAAAAAAAGCAAGCACTGCTATGGATTTTACAGTGCATTGTAGAGTGTATACAAGTAGTAGGTGCTCTTTATACATACCTTAACACATGCAGGCTTGTGTGAATGAGCCCTGAATGCAACTGTAATACACCAAGGGGTGTGAGAGCCTATGCTAAATGCAGAATCTGCAGAGGGGGAATTTAACCACTCAGTGGCTCTCACAAGTCCAATGGGTGATTCAGTCTATGTGCATCCAGCCATAACTGAAATATTGGCTTTGGGTTCAAGTAACAAAAATCTTCTACAATATTATTTATCTTTCTTGTACTTGTAGGAAGAAAAAAGGAGACAAAAGGAGGAAAGAGAGAGGAGAAGAGCAGAAGCTGCAGAAAAACGCCAAAAACAGGAAGAAGAGGGAGTATCAGAAGATAAGAAATCATTTAAGGGTTTTACACCAAAAGGTTCATCTTTTAAGGTATGAGCACAAAGTGAGAATGTCTACTATCTAGTGTGTGCCTGTTCCTTACTCTGATACTCCTTTGGGTCCTCCGCTTGTGATGAGAACAATGGTAATCACATGCAGACTGGAGGATTGTTTATTTAAAAAAAAACAAAAAAAACCTCCTCACTTTGATTTCTTTAATACTACTAGCTGTCAAATGCAATTGCTGTATTAAAACATAATTTAAAAAAATACATTATATATATTTTGCCAAGTCAAAGGGGTGTAATCACTAATGTTTTCAAACAAGATTCACCTATTTTTTCCCTAATTGAAACATGTAAAAAAATAATTGGTGAATATTGGGTGAAGACATTAATAAATAGACCCTAAAGTGTATCTAAAGCCAAACGTTGTTCTTAGGGTATAGTGGGGTAATGATAAATCTTCGGCCAGGTGTCTTCCCACCTATGTGCCCTTGGGGAGTTTTTTGTTTCCTGTTCTGTAGATAGAACACAAAATGAGAATCTCTCTGAAGTGAGGGGAAGTCCCCACTTGGACAGTCACCAAAATACGGTAATTTTTCCCTCATCGCCTGTTCTAGTGACAGTTCAAATATAGGGGTAAATCTAAGTGGGGTTACAAACATCAATAAAAAGTGACAGGATTGCTAACCTTTTTTCTAGATTTTGTTTTTAGATACCTTGGGTAATTGGTTTTAGTCTGCTAAAAACAAATATTAATCCAATATGGTGAAACCGTCTAAAATCTGATGCAAAGATTATGTGATGTTCGAAAAACACATTTACATATGGATCTGCCATGCAAAAATACATGTACCCTTAAGGGAGGCAAAAGCACAGCTCAACTGCCTCTTTTTATGCTCCCCTCGGCCGCCCGTGTGAGTGAGACCTAAGGGGCATGCAGGAGCTCAGATATAAGGAAAAATTAGCTAAACTGGAATTTATTGAGAAGTGGCGATTAAAGGAGGATATGATAATTTACACAAATGGTCCATGTATTAAACTTGGTGATAAGTTGCTCACCTCAAAGTGTATTCCTACTTTTTCAGTTATGTTTGTGTTATGTATTCCCATTCACACAGCATACATAAAAATATTTTTAAAATATTTTTTACTGTTCTAGTTGTTTCTTTTTAACATGATTATACATATGACTCTTTAGGCAGCATGTATTGTTCAGAATAGCTTCCTATGTGCAATTATGGGACTGAGGGACATTTTTGTAAAGTGCATTAACATACAATTTACCAACCAACCTTGGGATCTTTAACACAGTTTTGCATCTAGTTTACAGCAGATAATAAAGCTCTTTAAGCACAGTATAGACTTTGTTAAACAAGAAGTAGGGCCAAAGCTCTTTTGGCCATGCTTCTCATGTGGGTCACTGGAGTGCACTTAGTTCTCTACTCCTGTGACCCAGTTTCAGCCGACAGCGGGCTAAAGTCCAGTTTCGGCTGACATCACTCAGCCAGTCTAGACTGTGGAAGGATACCTGAACAGCATTTGTCTCATTCTCAGCATGCCACTGAGAGCCTGAGCCAGCCATTCGTGCCCCATTTCCAACCCGGTTCTCCAATGAGTGCTGGAGGGCAGGGGCGGACTGACAACTCATGGGGCCCCCGGGCAATAGGGGATCATGGGGCCCCTGTGTCCTTGCCCAAACTGAAAAAAAACCTATGAAAAATGTACCAGGGGCATCTCATTGGGCCCCCTACTGACCCCGGGCCCTCCGGCAGTGTCCGAGTTTCCAAATGGTCAGTCCGCCCCTGCTGGAGGGGCAGAACAGAGAGCCAATGACGGTCAGTCACAGCTCTCTGCTCATATATGTATTACCGCTGCTCAAGGTAGAGAGGCTCCCAGTCTCCAAACACAACTCCTCCTGTAGGAGCTAGCCCAGCTTGTGTGCTGCATAGATGAGAACAAAGGACATCCGATTGGCTGCTCTCCAAACAATCCACTTTATTGAACCAAGATAAAACCTATACAGACAGTGGAAATACAGTTGGGGAGTGGCAGGTAATTGCGTTTCACGCTAATGACAGCGCTTATGCATTACCCAATGGACCCATGTATGTAGGTTTTAAGCAACAGCTTTTCCTCCTAATCAACACTGGGTCCACCTCCAGCTACACCAGACCAATTTAAAGGTAAAGATAGTTCTTCAACTAACAGCAATTTTAACATCCCCAAAGTGCAACGCACAAAATCCAACGCACCAACCCAAAGGATATGTGCAAGAATTCCCGCGTCACACAATGGAGATGGCAGAAGTAAAAATAAAAATGAAACTGTAAAGAATATATGGGAAAAAGAAACAAGAAAAAACAACATGCCATTAAGAAAACACCACAACATATATACATGTATGTATAATGGATCTATCACAGATAAGAAGATATACAAATTTTACAAATAAATATACCTCAGATCAATAACATAATGTTTGTGTCTTATCCTCACCATCCCAGATATAATAAAGACCAAGAAGGCCAATAAGGCTATGAAACAGGCAGAGACACAGAGAATAATAATAAAAAAAAAATCAGCACCAAATAAACGCATGTGGTCAAATAAACGCATGTAGTCAAAAATCTGGTTAAACATAGTCAAGTCAGAGAGAGAGAGGAGAGAGAGGGGGTGAGGCCATTGCTGGGCAAAGAAGTCACTCATAAAAATAGGTGAGATCCCATTAAAAATTCAAACCATTAGGAATACCTGTACGCAAATAAAAAATCCAGAAGACTGAGAACCAAGTGGTCAACGGTCTTTGATAGCTCAGTTTTCAGTCTTAGAGATGGCGGGGGACAGATGCAACATTGAACCGATGCTGCATCCACCTAGGTGAGTATGGTTGTTATTTTGAAATTCCACACTCTTTTAATTCTGGTAAACTGAACTCTCCAGCCCTGTCCCCCGACATTACATGGAAGACGAAAGCCAGGTAGGATTTTTAAGCATGTATAAAGGTAAGCATTATTAATTTATGTAGGTAATTTTTAAAATTATGCTACATTAGGCCCCTTTCACATGGTGGACCGATCGGGTCCGTCTGTTCATTTTTTAGGCAGACCTGATTGGATCATCCATTGTTCTCTATGGGGGGACATATGTAAACTGACATGTGCCTGCATCCGTTCCAATCTGCTAAAAACAGACATATGGGGAATCCATCTAGCGGATCAGATGACAGTCGGATGTAAACGAACAGGTGTCTGTTTACATCCAACCACCCCATAAAGAACAGTGGGCTGTGTCCGTGTTCACTCTGCACAAGTGGAGCAGACACGGATCTGTCATCTGCCTGCTCAACAGGGATCAACAGACAGATCCCTCGGGGAGCAGGCAGATCTGCTCGGCGGAATCTCCCTTGTGAAAGGGCCTTATGATATGTAAATGGACACATATAACAATAATAAAATAGGAGTTATCCCAATTTGGCTGCAAAATTGGAAATACCTTTAAGTTCAGTGCAAATGAGAAGTGTTACAGTAAGAGCTGTAAAAAGGTGGAATATACTTTCACAGAAGCTATTTCTAGCCAGGTCTGTAGATTGCTTCACAAACAGGCTGGATGTGTTTCTAAATGTACAAAATAAAATGGCTATTAATATAAGTAATTAACAACCAGATTGTTGATCCACAGAGTAACCTCTTGAATACCTGTACATTTAAGGTTCTGAGGATGCAGGTTTTTCTTCTATTTATTTTTGTCTTTTGGTGGAACCTAATAGACACGTCTTTTTTTCAGCTTCAACCTATTAATGTGACTATGTTGGGCAATCAAAACCTAATAATGTGCTTCTTTTTCCCTGCAAACAGAGGTTCTTTGTAATATTATATAGTGTATGTCATAAACTATTTCCTACAAACATGAAGTGGTGGATTATATAAGGGGATACAGGCCTGATGTGGGTATAGTTATAAAGCAGTACGTGTGACATTCACCAATAATTCACTGCATTTGTATATTCCTAGTACTGAGATTGTTTTACCTGCATTGAATATCACATTCACGCCTTCATTAATGTATACATTAATATAGAAGGATACAAAAGATATTACATTGTACATATAACTAGAATATCTTGAGTATCTAATTTTTTCTGATTACATAAATCATTTTATATAACAATTATTATTATTATACAGTAATTATATAGCGCTAAAAGGTTTGCTCAGCGCTGTACATTATAGTGGGGGACAGAACATGAGACAATACAGTAACAAAACAAAACACAAGGGGGTCAAGGGCCCTGCTCTTTCGAGCTTAGATTGAATTTAAAATTAATAAACTACAATTCTGACTTCTGTAATTTAATTATTTTTTTTAAATCTTTAGTTCCTTTATAGAATCCATCCAAGCATTTATTTTAGTTTAATGTTATGTATTGTTAAAGTTCATTTTTTTATGTGTGCATGTATACTAGGATATTTGGTCTCCTTAAAATGTGTTTGGTTTGTACATCTGTATATGCTGAGAAGGTCTGGAAGATAAGGCAGGTCCTAGCAAAGTGCTAAAACATAGGTTATTTAAAGCATAAATCCATAACTTTTTTCATGTAGCGGAGAAGAGTTAGAACCTCTGTGAGTAGCACCAGGCCAAGGCAGAGGCAGAATATGCACCTGCCTTGGGCACTGTGCAGTGGCAGGTACAGCTTGAGTGGGAGCTTCTCCTGCCTCTACATTGCTCAGCTATCTGTCAAACTGCTAGCTCAGTCCTGCAGAATACACAGGGGATCCCCACTCTCCCTTTGTAACCAGCAGCACTTCCCTCCACTGTCAGTGTGACAGTCGCCTGCTTTGTATCAGGAGTTCTGTGTGCGCCTGAACATTTCACAGTGCCCAGATGTCACAGAGCTCCTATGACTACACAGGAAGAATCACATTCTCCCTTTGTAATCTGCAGGACTCAGCTGTTAGTTTGGCTGCTCTGCAGTCATTTATCAACAAAGCTACACATTTTTTTTTATATTATATCTTTTAATAATATTTTCCTATACAAAAAGAGCTT